GATTTGGATTTGAAAATTATCCAGTTGGATTCCACTCCACATTGGATACCTGATTTAGACTGGGTGCACCCTATGACATTGCAGACATAAAAAGGGAACATATCCTAAGTAAACCATTATTCAAGATTTACTTGTTCCTCACGAGGAGGAGGGATTACTTAGTTTTTTTATATTGGTCTGTGAAGAGAAAAAAGACTTAACACGGTTAAGCTTTTGTTACTTTGGTTTATTCATTTTCCATATTTTTTATTTAAATTATTTAAATTGTTTTGTATATGTTCACACGTTCAAATACAGTAAGAAAGTGTTCAAACATATGGTTTGTGAGATTCATTTGAACACCACACATTGCTCCAGTAGCTGAACCTATTCCTGCTTGTTGGCCCTTAATTAGAGATTAATAATTCCTTGTCTAAACACTTGGCAAGTGTTACATGTGGGTTTGACTTGTTTAATACTTTGTGACTGTACCTGTACTGCTGTACCTTTTTGTTAGGGCCTGTTACCTGGGATTGTTGCACTGCCTGTCACGGTAGGTAACTCCACTCTCGCAGCTTCGTGAGCAAGCAGACCAGGATGACCAGTCGGACCAGCTGCCATGCTGAGGTCTTGGGCCCTCGTCACCCTGTTTGACACATTGGCCCCTACGACACCACTGCAGACAAAGAAAGAGGAATGGTGAATGAAGGGACACAAGGTCAGAGCAAAGTGTTATAACAGTATAAAAATCAAACGGATTTCCCCCCAGACCCTGCCCTTTATCTTCTTTATGATGACAGTTGCTCAAACCATAACTTTCAGGTTTAACTGCTGTCATAAAGGTTGTGGTCCAGTCCTGGTTATATGCTCACACTCTGTCAGTGAAACTCCAGTTGTGCTGTTTCTTGGACAGTGGACCTTCAGCTGTCATCAGCTAGAATTAACAGCGCTAAGTCACACACAGCTGAAATGTGGAAAAACTCTGTCACACCTGACAAAGATGTTCTCCAACTATGAAACAATACATTTGCCATTGTCATCTACTGTATGTTGTCATTTCATGTTGCTCTATGCTGTATTTATTTTTCTTTGTAAAAGCAGTAAAAATAAAAATACATAGCTACAAAACATGAAACTAAATAGTTAAAATAGTTTCCAACAATGGACAAACTCATATGCTTCTTCACTACTCAGACACATCCTTCTAAACAATTTGACTGTTGTAACAAAATAATAAATATAGATTGAAATTTTTGACATAATTTCCAGTGCAAATCAACTACAAGGTTAGGGCTGGCCTTTGTGTGACTTGTTTGGTATTTAAGTCTGTTTAGCTCATTTTTTAAAAGATGTGAATGAGGTCAGGCACATATTTACTGTACATTTTTCATCATTTTCCCCATGCTATTCCAATTTGACAAGGCAAATTTCCCCCCAAATCTGAACACTTCTATTCATGGCCTGGGGAATATACAGGGGGCCACAGTGACTAAGCAGCTCTCCCCCCAATGAATACTGCCACGAGGCAACCGAATAAGGCAGAAGTTGAGCTTTGTTCAACTTTTCTTGTTCTCACTGTGTGTTCTTGCCCGCACACAAGCCTACAGATGGACACACCAGCATACACACACCACTGCACCTAATCTCGCAGTCCTTGAACAGCTGATTTCCCCTCAGTTTTCCCCCTGCGGCTGACTGCCATGGATTCCTAAGCGAGCTTGTCATTGTTTGTGTTCAGTTAATTGTCCCGTAGAGGGAGAGGGCTAGATTAAACCATCAAGTTCAATATATTGAGAACCAAATGTCAATGAGGGGCTGTCAGGGGAGTGTAAGAAAGAGAGAGAGCAAGCCTTGGGGGAGACTCATCTTGAAATAAGTAAAGAACGAAATAAAGAATAAATAAAGTGCACAGATTGCTTTTTGGCCCAACCCCAAGAGCACATTTTTGCCAACTCAGCAACAAACCAACTGCAGCTGCTCCCTGAGGTAAAATAAAGAGAGACTGTGGTACCTCTAGCAAAAAGAGAGATGTTATTGACACCGCACCCAAATATTCTCAAATCTAAAACATAGTCAAGATCCATACTTTTCACAAATTCACAAGTGCATTAAATAATATGTGCTGTGGCACAATGCCATCATAGGGAAGAGCATTGGAGCCACTTTTTCCTCAGAATGCTGACTTTAAAGCTGACTTTTAAAAAGTCAGAATTCAAATAAACTGTTTTACCCCTCATTTCCACTGGATGTGGCGGCACTGCTTTCCATTTGCGATGCAGTTCTGAGCCAGTCTGGTGCTGATTTTTCATGTAGGATAATGTTCTTTGTTTTTGAGCCTCTATAGTAAGTAGGCTTTGTAGTTTTTTTTGTGTTTATTGTTCTTATAGGCTGTCGATGGTTCACGTATGGCTATCTTTTGGGGAAAGTGCTAGCTGATTAGTGGGTTGAACTTGTCAGAAACGTCCCAGATGCAGCATCTGTTGAAAATTGTGTATCTTTAATAAAGCGGACCAGCAAGCTGCATGTGATGGATTGGAGATGCAACGCAGACGGAAAGCAATACAGCCACATCCGGTGGAAATGAGGGGTTACAGCTGCCCTGATTCTCTTCCGTACAATTGTGCAGTCACTGAGTTCAAGGCCTTGAAATTGCCTAACTGAGCAGTAGTAGTTTTATAACACTACAACAATAAATGTGAATTGTATAATAGTGTCTTTGTCACTGTAGGCCATTACTCATGTCATTTACTTGCTCAGATCATTTGGAGGAAGCATGCGTAAGACATCTCTATAAACTCTACCCTCTCATAATAAATGTCACACAATTGATAAAACTAAGCAGTGCACTGAAAAAATCTGTGTTGCCTTAGGAGAAAAATCCCCTCTGAAAATTGAGTTAACTTATTTCATTTGTCTTGCACGGCTCAGTCGGCTAATATTGAGTGGGGGATCTGAAAACTGTCACTTTCAATGTTCTAGTTTGAGTTGTGTTGTTCACCAAAACTGCAAAGAAATGTTTGTGAGAGGCTTCTGTTGAGTGCCTTTATTTTGTGGATTTATTTGGTGAGATGTTGCCATGGAGCGGTGTAAAGGCAACAGTCTAATAAACACACACTCACACAGTCCTCATTTGACAAAACAAGGCAAGATTTTCTCAAAGGCATAGCAACTGCTAGATTAATCTGAGGTATGATTAATTGCCTCCTGAATGCACAGTGCACCCCCCCCCCCCAAAAAAAAAAAAAAACATGATTGACATTGTGAAGAAAGAGGCATCTGCTGTATGTCCTCATTAGCTGTTGAAAATGTCCTTGGTATGACCACTTGTACTGCCTCAAAGGCGGTGGATATAAAAGTCCAATAGAAGTCAACGGGCTCCCGTGCCATTCATGACATGCTACTTTTGTGGTGACAAAGATTCTGAGTCTATCAGCCACCCCTCCTTCACCTCAAGCAACAGACACACATGAAAACACACCAGCATAACTCACCATAGCAGGGCCACAGGCAGAGCCTTCAGCAGCTGGCATGAATTTGGTCTCACACTTCCTTCCAACACGGTGGCACCACAAAGCCTTGCAGATATCCTGGAACAACATCAGACGAAGCCAGCGGGTAAGTTAAATGGCACTGATAGAATGTTTTCCTGCTTCAAATTTCAGTTGTGGGATGATCAGTATTTTTCCCACAACAGCTGTAAATAAAGTTAGTGATGGGAAGAACAATGAATTATGACAACATTGTTATTTTTCTTCTTGAGCACTACTAACGCAAACTGATGGTAACCTAGGGAATACAAAATGTCTGAATAATGATCTTCTGGCACATCATCAGTGTGCAGCAATCTAGTATCCCCAAAATATGTGTTTCAGTAGCTAGGGTAAAAACATTTTAGTAATAAAGAAGGAAAATATAATTTGGTGCAACTGTTGCAAAGCATTTTTCCACTGGCAGTGTAATGCATCAAGGACAACCACCTTTATTGGCCAAGTATGTTACACACAAGGAATTTGTTTCCGGTACAGAACCGAGGCAGCCATCTGCGGCGCCAACTCAACCGATGGCTCTGACCATCGGGGCCAACTTGGAGGTTCAGTGTCTTGCCCAAGGACACTTTGACATGTGGACTGCAGGCACTGAGATTCGAACCTCCAACCCTCTGGTTGGGAGATGACTGCTCTACCCACTGAACCAGTTGCCCCCAAAACATTCACATCCATTTTTTCTGTTGCAGAATGACACACACACACACAAAAGCTGCACTTTTACACGTTTTCTTTACCTAACATACAGTTGAACCCATCTTATGATAAAACACAAAGAAACAAAGAGATAATCTCATGCAGCAACTTGCATTACTGTGGCACAACTGTCTTACCAAACTAACATGATGTCATGGCATTTCTCAGCAGTGGCCTGAAAGATTCAGAGCCCTAGGTGGTTTCCCTGCTTACAGTGCCTGAGAAACATTGCCTAATACTTTTTATCATGTCCACTCTATTACCATCTGAATGACTATATCAGATTTTGACAACTCAGAGCAGATGCTGACAGGCACCGCAGCATCAGCTGTTCGCTGCTAAGAACCACTATGGAATTCATCCCAAGACCTATTTGTCCAGCTGTTTTGTTTGCTCAGGCCTTTTATACCAGTTAAAAAGGGAAGGATTTAGCAACTGATGGAAGAAGTAGACAGAAAGAGACAGGGAGAAGTGATAAATAGAGTGAGACAGTGAGAAAGAGAGAAACACACATACACATTATTTTGCTTTTTGCTAGGATAACCTAGCTCTGACCAGTCACACTATGGAGAATATCATTTGACTCCTCCAGAGATGTCTTATCTTAACAGCTGCCAAAAAGCTTCATGAAATATGTGTTCATTACACAGTGAACTACACCACAGGGGCTGATGCATTTTTAAGAGTAACAAGTGGCTAGTGCTTGGGCCCCGTGTACCTTGCCGCTACCAGGTGCATGAGTGGAGAGAGTATGACCAAAAACAAATCCACAAAGTAGTGATTCTCAATGCAAGAATAAATAAATAAATGAATGTTTGGATGTTTAGTCTTGATGAGCAGTCTAAGGGGGATAGCATGTTCTGATATCCAGCTATTAATCTCTGTGACTTTTTGAAGCCTCGTTCTCAATAAAATAAGAACCTCAAAAGCAATCTGACAAAAAGTACTTTTGCCAGAATACCAGTTACTTTAAGACTTACAGCGACTGCCCTTTTTAACTGCCAGGCGGTAAATAGTTTGGCTATTTTGCTTTGCAGTTAATAAATTTACTGACAAAATCCATGTACACACAGCATCTGGAGGGGCATATGAGCTGTGGTTCTTTATTAACCTCATCACAGTCACATCTGTACCCCAACTTTGTTTGATTATAAGCTGATTAGATGAAAGCTTGTTTGAGAATATATTCTATATAAGCAGAATAAGTAAAATATGGACGGCATTAACATAAGGCGATGGACGCATAATTGGACACAGGATCCCATTATTAACACAGCATTGCAAACTGTGTTTATATTTATCAATTAATTGAATTAAAGTATGACAAATTCATTTCTGTACAGTGAACTGGGTCTTTGGGGCTCCTCAGAGTCTTGTTTCTCACTCTGTTCAGTTGGCAATTTAATCTTGATTGTGTAATTTTACCACCATTTAGTGGAGTTCATTAAGCTTACACAATGTCAGTGGAGTTCACTTTAATGACTCTATGAATATGATAGACACTCACTGGTCACTTTATTAGGTACACCTGTATGTACCTAATACATTGTATGCAACTCAATGCAACACTTTCACCTTTAGTTTTTGGTGAAATTGTCATAAATGTCTCAGTTTAATTATCCGTTTATTACTGAGGTCATAGCTAAAGGTGCTGTTGTACTGGACTATATCATATTCAAAGGTGTATGATTTTGTCCTCCCCAGCTACATACATGGGAGGGTCAGAATATTATGAACACCTCAGAATATAATATAGCTCAGTACAACATCACCTTTAACCATGACCTCAGTAATAAACATATAACGGAATATGATCTTTGCCTGCTTGAAAAGAAAATAAATGCCACTTGACCAGGTGAGGTTTTGGTGGGGAACCATGCTGGACTCATGTATATCTCTAATCCAGATATATGAACAACAGTCATTTACCTCACTGTATAGCATGTCATTAAACACTGAAGTAATCTAAATCCTATCAGAAGTCAGGCAGAGTATCTCAAACAGCAATATCAGCAGTAATGAGACAATGGGAGAGCAACAAGAAGAGATTCCCATTGGCAACACTCCACTCTATATTTAGCTTTCCATCCCTGTATTTCATGGGCAGCATTATAGCTCACTGTTTTTGTGTGTGTGTGTGTGTGTGTGTGTGTGTGTGAGTGAGTGAGTGAGTGAGAGACAGAGAGAGAGAAAATATGCATTCATGTATGGGTAAGCACATGAGGGCATGTAATCCTAACCAGTCTCTCTTTTCTTCCTCTTTCCTTTATTCTTTCTTTTCCCTCGAGCCCCAATCCACTCAAGTTTTTTTTTCCTACAGTAGGAAACAGTTGCCAACAAATAGTTTTTAAATTAAGAACTTCCAGCAAGTGTGCTGAGAAAACCCCTGACAGAATCGTGCCATGGGATTTGTAAATTTGCATGGGGTGGCATAATCAAATAAAAATCAATTTAACCTTCTTAAAATCGAGGGTGCAGAGTTTGGCCTTCTCCCCAAACTGCCATTTGCACTGTGTGTCTGCATCGTACAGTTCGCCGGGCAGCTTCTCGGGGTACTGATACTCCTTAAGTGCTCTGGGTTCATCCGATAGGCACAGAGCCTGGGCAGAACTGGAGAAGGAGAGTAAGAGGAAAAGTAAGTCAAGAAAAGGACACAGGAGTAAGAATGAGGGAGAGAGCACAAGAGTTTGGAAGGAGGATAGCATCAGGGAGAGGGGAGCAGAGATGAATGAGTCAGGGGAGGAGGGGGGAAGAAAAAGTTGAGAGACAAGAGAGAAAGAATGAATCAATCTTTGAACATCTCTGAGGATATACAACATGCACACAGACATAAACATTCAGACAGACGTGATTCAGTGCAAAACTTTATTAATGCCTCCCCGCTGTGCTCGCAGACGTTTCACATCTGAGAGCATCAATTCATCATATTCCATTGTTATCCACTTTAGAGAGAGCCCTGTAAAGTGTTTCCATAGAGACATAACAAGTTGCCCACTTCAAGCCCTGAGAGCAAAGGTTTTACTGCATCAGACACTCAATTATGTCCACTTGCCCATATCGCTCATATCCTAACACCAGCGGGGATTTCCAATGTTAACTGATATCACTGGTTACTATACAAAGATGTTTTACAGCTTAAACATGCCTGTCAGGGGAATATGATACAAAAACATGGTGGAAAGAGCATGAAAGGCAAAATATGTTGGAGTGCTTCAACGCGTTAGTGAGTGGTCCTGATTGCTTTAGCAGAGTAAATGTGTGCCTGTGTGTGTGGGGAATATCTTATGCTGCTTTATGAACCCAGTGTGTTTGCAGTCAACAATAACTGTCCAGTACGTGTTCTGATATTCTAATACTCTACATTATTCACATAGTTTTTGGAAAAAAAAAATACATTTTGACAGTATAAACATATCATCAGTCCCAAAAATAAAACGTGGTCAGGCATGCATGCACATACAAATACTCATCCAAAGAAAAACATGAAAGTTGTCTGTCCATTTTAGGCATGACAAAGAGCTCAGCTGTCTATACATCCAGCCCTTTCTGTCATAGGTGGCTGAGGAGAGGCAGATTTAGAGTGAGTGTAATGTAAACTGTGACTGGCACAGTACTTCTCTCCATAGCATAAAGGCAGAGACATTAAAGAGTCACAGTTAATTCAACGAGACAGTTGGCTAAAAATATTTAAATACCATAACATTGTTGATTGCAATTAGGGAAACGTACAGTATTTCAACATTTTTATCATTCGGTGATTATACAGGAAGACAACCTTTGGTTGGTCCGGTGATATAGATATCCCTTCCACATGGCCTCTGGGGGTGATGGGAGTTTAATATAATGCTGACAGGCCTAACAAGGGTGAGGTCACCCCAGCTCTAATAACTCAGCAAAGAAATACACTGTCTGTCTCCACCACTCTGAGGAGGGAGACCTGACAGTTCAGTTAACACACTGGTAAATTTAGTGGAGGACACTGCTCTGGGCTATCTGGTTTCAAGCATGCACACACAGAAACAGGCTAGGTCACATGGGCACTATGTCTGTGATGCTTATTTTCTCACTTGGGTGGCCAGGCTCTATGCATGAAAACAGACAACGTTTTCCCACAGACACTTTAACCTAAATGTACCCTGACACATATGCAATCTGTAAAACAACACATACAGGAGAATAGGAACGCCAGATATCACTCAACTTAGTTGCTACGTCAGCGATATATTTCAGTGTGGGCCCCCCCCCCCGCACACACACACACAGTGGGCCTGTTGCAAAATAAAGCAAATCCTGTAATAGTTAACATAATACTGCCATGTGAATAACAAGTAGTTATTCACATGGCAGTATTTAGATCAGAGCAGCATTTGTAACTGATATATCTGCTGCTCTCATGCTTCTTCTTCAACATGTTCAGCTATTAGTAACATGTCATAAACAATGCATGTAAACAAAGTGGCTATTGCCAAGAGCCATCTTATAAACTTATACAGTGATTACACCTTTGTTGCACATGAGGGTTCACTCTTTACTCATCAATATGCCATATAGATGTGATGTAGCTTTTTTGTTTTTAAAAACTTCAGTCTTCGAAAAACAAGACTTCAGTCAGTGTTAGCCATAAATTTCAGCATTTAAAACAAGTGCTTCTTAAATCATTTAAAAACTTCAGTCTTAAAAAAACAAGACTTCAGTCAGTGTTAGCCATAAATTTCAGCATTTAAAACGAGTGCTTCTTAAATCAAATCTTTTAGCATTGTTTACTACAACAAAAGCATAGTTGCAACAGAAGTTGTGCTGCTTACTTGAGGAAGCGGCTGAGATACTGGCGGCTGCAGGGAGACCAGGAGAAGATACCATTGTGACCAGCTAATGTGGGAGACATGATGTTGCCCTCTGACTTCTTACAAACATTCCCTTCCCCATCATGGACCATTCCGAAACTGAGGAAGGTACAAAAGATTTGCTATACACAGGTTATGCTGACAGGGCTTCATGTTAATGGCACAACTTCCTATTATTTAATCCAGCAGTAGAAGACAGGTATACACATGGCTATACCATATAATTGTGTTTGTGAGAAAGCAGAAATCTCACTGCATTACTATGGTACCTAAAGCATTAAATCTTCAACCTCAGCTTGCAAATTGTTGCATGTGGAGATACAAAAAGGTTTTAAAGCATCTTTTAGCTCCTCAAGCGTGCGCTGTGCTATATCATTTATATAATACAATCTAATAAAATGGTATTAGATCATTTAGATACTTTTTAATCACAGTCTGCACACTGGGTAATATGAACGGACTTTTTCTTTATCATGAGATAAAATTTACTTGTGTCCAGATTCATGGGCAATGGTGAAGGCCAGACCCAGGCCAGTGTCTTCATTAACGGTGCAGCTCCGGTACTTGCTGCACATCCCACTAATTGGAGCAAAACCTGCAAAACCAGTGAAAGAGTTTTACAGACTTTACACTGTGTCATAATTTTATTTTGTTCAGATCCAACAAACTGTATTTAACTGATTACAATAACCAGTGTCACCACAGTACACTGGACCTTTTAACTTGCCTAGTAATAGTGCAAAATCAATGAGGTTCTATCATACAGAAAACAGAAACCACACTCTAGGCTGAGCTAGCTGTGGACTGCATGCATATTATATATGTACACATCTCAAACACACCATTTGTCATATGTTTAAATAGGACTGTAGCAACATTCCCAGATTCCCAGGTTAAAACCCCGTCATATGTTTAAACAGGACTGTAGCAACATTCCCAGATTCCCTGTTAACTTTCACTTAACATTCTCAACTTCTCTCATATCCCTCCTTCTCTGTTAAAATCACTGATACTGTACAGCTACATTTCTGCCTGCCTCTGTCCATTCCCCCTCTCTCTCTCTCATCACATAGACAGTCACACATGTTACCCCTGGCTCTGAATCAGAAAGGATTATACCCAAGGGAGACTCCCTTAAAGTTTGTCTGTGAATGTGAATAATGATATCAAACATAAGCAGATCGATTGACTATGAGAACTGCCATTTAGTTCCTTTTTTGGGTCAGGAAACAGGTAGCTTATTTATTTAATGGTCTTGAAGTATGGAGGAAAACATTGGGGGATAGGACTGTAGCAGTAATCCAAATAAACTGTGTTATACTGTACAGTATACTGACTGGTACTAATGGTCATTTTGCACTTTTGGGAATTAGTCGGCACAAACACATTTTTGACTGCACGCGCGCACACACACACTTTTGAACTGTGCCTAGCAGTGGCCCAGCAGTGATTAGGGCTAATGTTCAACACTTGAGTCTGGGGTTTGACAGTAGTGTGTGCCCGTTGGAATGTTTGCATGCATGTCACCGTGTATCTCTGGGACACACAATGGAAGTATTTAACTCGTAGTGTGGAAGACTATGTGCTGGCATGGTCATTACCACAAACAAGCTGTTGTTTGTGTACACTCATGAGGACTGAGTTGTGTTTGTTTAAAGTAGCTGAGCCTGGTCTGTGTAGCTAACAGCTATAGAGCACTTTGAATGTGAAATCATAAATAGTATGTTCAATTTTCTGAACTTAGACCTTGTATTATATATATTTCAATTTGCATCTTAATGCTCATAATTATTTTTTCCATTATCTGGTGTTACACTTCATATTGTTCCATATTATTGTACAAACAGCTACAGGTAAGGAAAGACACAATTTCCCAGAGAAAGACAACAAGTTCTGTAAAAATGACTTTTCTATCAAGAGTGAGAAAAACAAACTGGGACAGGCATTATTCAGATGGCTTCATGAAAATGAATGAGTGCTATGAAAATTACTGTTACTGTCTCACTTAATTTTATTTCTACATTTAGATCTCTCCATTCTCTTGGGTTCCTTTGTATCATTTCAAATTACACTTTGGCATTGTATTACTGCAGAATCTCCTTTTCAATGATTTTCTTTTTGGCTGTACGACAATAAACAAAGCAATAAAGACGTACCAAGAGTGTCACACGGTTCATTCTTCCACGAGCAAATGTCAAGTCCTGTGAGAAGGATGGCATGGTCATGGTGCCGGCCTTGTCTGCCTCCCAGAGTGGACTGCCAGTGGCAGAAGCTGTTCAGTGTGTGGTCTGCATGGTGGTTGATCACCAAACCATCCTGTGAGATAAAAGAAACAGAGGCAGAAAGAGACACGATTGTCTTTAAGGAAGAAAACTAGTTGATTTACTGTAAATGAGAAAAATCTTATTCATCCATCTCCTGCTTAGACAAATATCAATAAAACCACCTCATAACTTTATAGAATAATAAAGTGATGGTATTGTAATTGTCAGTTGTTGGATTACCAACACATTCTCTAGTCTTTGCAATCAATTAGCAAGATCTTTAGACATACTGTAGGTTAAAGGTAACCTGCCGATGTGAGAGGGGACACTGACAAAATAGGTGTCACTACTAGAAAAACAAACATTAAAATATAGCATTGTCACAGAAAATTAACCTCTTAAAACTGAAATCTGTTGACATCAGAGGTGGATTTGTTGTTCTCGAACTGCGTGATTCTTCCTCTGACAGAACCTCAGCTGTTTCTTGAGCCCTCCCTCTGTCTTTCCCTTTTTCTCATGCTGTCTTTCTATCACCCTCACTCCACAACAATCTCTGCTGAATCTGGCAATTATCCATGGAAATGTATACACTGAAAGTATACACTTAGATGAACTGGTGGGTTTCTCTGAGAAACCAGAGATCTTAACTTTCAGGCCTAAAACAAAATATTGTTTTTCCCCTCAAACTCCTCATTGTCACTGCTACCACAGGATCAGGGTAGGTAAGGGCATATGCCTGTCTGCATTCATGGAGTGCCTTCACCTATATGGAACCAAAGTCCTTATGTGAGAAATATGTCATGGTTTTGCATGGACCCAAATGCAGACAAATGGGTTGTGAGAAAAACCAAGCTTTAATCATTTTCAAAGCGAACAAACCAAAAATAATGACAGAGGTAAAACGGAAAGAACCAAGGAGCTCAGCCTGACTGACAACACAGGTGGGGCAAAGTAGAATAGCCAGGCCAGGGAGCACAAACTGAAAATGGTGTTCTAGGAGTGAACCAAACACCAGTAAGCTTATAACAATAAACTAAGAACAGAACAAACAAATGAGGACATAACCAAAGTTCAAAGTATGAGGGCCAAGTCCCCTCCCAGGGATGGCTTCTACACATCCCAAAACAAAAGGCCAGCATCGGAAGCAGCACCAGCATGCATGCTGACCCATCGAAACACAGGAACAGGAGACGTGGTGTCACTGTTGACCCACAAAGACACAGGAACGACAACATTGAGATAAACCACCATCACAAAGGGAAGAGTATAGTCTGAGATCTGACAGATTTGGGCCAACCCCTAACTCCAACAAAACACTAAGCTCCTCTAGCAAAGTGACCCGATTGCATCTCAGACTTGACTGCTCCGCCTCTCCCTCAAGCACTAAAAATCTCTCAGTAACACAATCTGTGGGGGCCATTGGTGGCTGGTTCATTTTGTCATGATTTTGCATGGAGAAGACCCAAATACAGAGACAGGTGGAGTGAAACCAGGCTTTAATGATCAGTTGTTTTCAATGTGAACAAGCATACCAAAAATAATACCAGTCACAGTCACCAACAATCCCCCAGGTTTTTAAGAAAAAAAAGTTTAAAAGGCTTTTCTTTGTCATCATTTTGAGCCAGTGTGCTTTTCTAGCTAGTTTGTAACCTTAGCTGCCCTTACCAGTGATTACCCCGACATTCTCGCAGCCAGGAAGCGCATTTTGAGAAGAAAGGACACAATTACCAATCTGTGGGGTGTAAAGTAATATGACTAGTGTAAAGAGTTACTTCTAAAAGGGGATAATAAGTAGGGTAGTGATGGGACCTACGGTGCCGATGCTTCGAAGCATGTATCAAGAAATCCAGGAAGTATTTAGTGACGTGTATCGAGGCTTGTATTGTTTATGGTGAGTGATGTCATCGATGACATTTGACGCCTCGCTGCGTGTAGCGGTTCAAGAAGTGGTTCGAATCTTACCATGATGTATTGGCAGATACTATAAAGCTCAAGGAATCTCTACACAGTTCATGAGTAGTGTTGGAGTTATGAAAGTTTGTGAGTTACGCATTTCCAAAAAGAAGAATCGCTTAAACCCCAACACTGTTGAACAAATACTGTTTTTAAATAAAAATGAATAAAGTGTCCCCCTACATCAGTTACACAAGCACCTTCACTGCCCTTCTCTGTTACAAGCATATTCACTTTCCTCTCCCTTGTTAACACTGCCACAGTTTGAAAACATAATTATCCCCCTGTCACTAATCTATGACTTTTTCAACTACTGCTGCAAAGGAGGAGGTTCACTTTGGTATCACAGAACATTGATTAGAATGTATCAGCCAAGAAAGTCTTATTCTTACTATTTGTGCTCACAAGAGGATTAATAACGGGAGACAAAACACATGGTTTGAATGGGTTATCTTGTGCTCACAAGAGGAGAATGCATAGTTATATGGCAGTCATTACTCCCATGCCCAAACTGTGGCGAGACAACTTTGAGAGTATCATATACAGTTACAATGACTATGAACACATCTGCCCATCTTACAGTCAGTGACCAGCACGGGGGTTTGTGTGTACATGAAGCCTCCAGAAATAAACCCTTTTGCAAACCAATTGGCTGGAAGGCTTCATCTCACCACCATTAAAGTAGGATAATATTAATTTATAAAACAAGTCATACATTACATTTTTTGATTAACAAGCCCAACACTGCTAATGACACGGGGAAGAACGGCCAAGCGAGGGAGCATAATCTGAAAACTGCATGTGCTAGGAACCAAGCAAATTATGAGAACAGAATGCACTAACCAAATGTCAGGGAGCTTACAACAAACCATGAACTGGGAACAAAGAAAACAAAAATAGCAAACCAGAAGCAAGCTATCAAAATTCAAAGCATGAGGGGCAGGTCTCAGATGGGGGAACCAGGCGAGGACA